TTTTAGGATGTTTTTGGGTGTTTTTAGGGTGTTTTGGGCTGTTTTGGGGTTGGTTCTGGATTGATTTCCGGGGTGGATTTTGGGGTGGTTTGGGGGGTTTTTTGGGGGTGTTTTTTGGGGTGTTTTGGGATTGTTTTTGGGGTGGTTTGGGGTGTTTTTAGAGCGGTTTTGGGATGGTTTTTTGGGGGTGTTTTGTGGGTGTTTTTTGGGTGTTTTTGGATGGATTTGGGGTTGTCTCGGGGATGGCTTTGGGGGATTCCCGGACGGTTTTGGGGCTGTTTTTGGGGCTGGTTTTGGGGATGGTTGTGGATTTGTTTTTGCAGAAGGTTTTGGATTTTTTGGGGGTGTTTTTGGGTGTTTTTTGGGTGTTTTTTGGGTGTTTTTAGAGTGGTTTTGGGTGTTTTGGGGATGGTTTTTTGGGGTGGATTTTGGGGTGTTTTTGGGGTGTTTTTGGGGTGTTTTGGGTAGGTTTTTTGGGTGTTTCTGGAGGTGTTTTTGGGTGTTTTTCGGGTGTTTTTGGGGCGTTTTTTGGGGTGGATTTTAGGGTGTTTTGGGAAGTTGTTTTGGGTGTTTCTGGGGGTGGTTTTGGGTGTTTTTTGGAGCAGGTTTGGGATGGTTTTCTGGGGTGTTTTTGCGAGTTTTTGGGGTGTGTTTAGGGTGTTATTGGGTGTTTTGGGTGTTTTGGGGTATTTTGGGGTGATTTGGGGGTGGTTTTGGGGTGTTTTGTGGGGTGTTTTGGGGGCAGTTTTTGGGATGGTTTTTGAGGGTGTTTTTCGGTGTTTTTTGGGTGTTTTGGGGTGTTTTTTGGAGTATTTTTGGGATGGTTTTTTGGGGTGTTTTTGCGAGTTTTTGGGGTGGTTTTGGGGTGTTATTTGGTGTTCTGGGTGTTTTTTGTTATTTTGGGGTGATTTTGGGGTGTTTTGGGGTGGTTTTTTGGTGTTTTTGGGTGTTTTTGGGGTATTTTGGGGTGATTTTGGGGTGTTTTCGGTGTTTCTTGGAGCAGTTTTGGGATGGTTTTGGGTGTTTTGGGGTGGTTTTTTTGGGTGTTTCTGGGTGTGTTTTTGGGGCAGTTTCTGGGTGTTTTGGGGGTGTTTTTGGGAATTTTTGGGGTGTCTTTGGGGTGTTATTGGGTGTTTTGGGGGTTTTGGGGTATTTTGGATTGTTTTGGGGTGTTTTTGGGAGTTTTTGGGATGGATTTTTGGGGTGGTTTTGGGTGGTTTGGGGTGTGTTTTTGGGGCAGTTTTTGGGTGTTTCTGGGGGTAGTTTGGGGTGTTTTTTGGGTGTTTTGGGGTGATTTTTGGAGCAGTTTTGGGATGGTTTTCTGGGGTGTTTTTGCGAGTTTTTGGGGCGTCTTTGGGGTGTTCTGGGTGTTTTGGGGTGGTTTGGATTGGTTTTGGGTGTTTTTGGGGTGTTTTTGGGGCGGATTTTGGGGTGTTTTGGGGTGTTTTGGGGGTTTTGGGGTATTTTGGATTGTTTTTGGGTGGTTTTGGGTGTTTTTGGGAGTTTTTGGGATGGATTTTTGGGGTGGTTTTGGGTGTTTTTGGGGCGGATTTTGGGGTGTTTTGGGGTGTTTTTTGGGGTAATTTTGGGGGTGTTTTTGGGAGTTTTTGGGGTCTCCCCTCACCAGCGCAGGGGCAGTCTCCGCACACTCTCGGCCCCTCCCCGGCAGACGCTGCACTCGAAGATGTAAAACCTGCAAAGGATCCCCAAAATCACCCAAAATTCACCCCAAAATTCACCCAAAATTCACCCCAAAATCACCCAAAATTCACCCAAAATTCACCCAAAATTCACCCAAAATTCACCCAAAATCCAGTCCCGAAATCACCCAAAATCACCCCAAATTCACCCCAAAATTCACCCAAAATTCACCCCAAAATCAGCCAAAATTCACCCCAAAATCACCCAAAATTCACCTAAAATCACCCCAAAATCACCCAAAATTCACCCCAAAATCACCCCAAAATTCACCCAAAATTCACCCCAAAATCACCCAAAATTCACCCCAAAATTCACCCAAAATTCACCCCAAAATCACCCAAAATTCACCCA